CCTCAGCTCTTCAGCTCAAGGCTAGCACTCTACCACTTGAGCTACAGCGCCACTTCCGGCTTTTTTCTTTTTGCTTATGTGGTGCTGAGGAATCAAACCCAGGGCCTCAGACATGCAAGGCAAGCTCTCTACCACTGAGCCATCTTCCCAGTCCCCAACTCTAAATTTTTTTAACCAGAAGAGGAGAAAATCACTTTCACACAACTATAAATATGAAGCACATTTGACCTCCCTAAGGAAGGGTTGTTTCACGGCCAGAGAACCCCGAACCACCTTTGGGCACATCAACAGAACCAACTTGAAGGCTTTTGATCTCAACCAACTATAATCACCGATCAGCCATTTCAGCACTTAATACAATGTGCTCACCCAGGCAGGCATACTTAACATTAGTCATCAGATCTCCCTCAAAGGCCAACCCTTACAAAAACTGCTGCCTCCCAGTAGGAAAGCTTTTGGTTTGAATTCAGGGCCTGGGCACTGTCCATGAGCCCTTTTTGCTCAAGGCTAGCTCTTTACCACTTCAGCCACAGTTCATCTCCTGCTTTTGGAGATAAGAATTTCACAGGCTTTCCTGAACAGGCTGACATTAAACCAGGATTCTCAGATCTCAGCCTCCTGGTTAGCTAGGATTACAGTCTTGAGCTCCTTGTGTCCAGCTATTTTTATTTATTAATCATTATTTTTTATTTTTACTACAAAGGTGATGTACAGAGTGGTGACAGTTAAATAAGTCAAGTAAAGAGTACATTTCTTTTTGGACAATGTCATTTCCTCCTTTCCTGTATACCACTTTTTCCCTCCTGTCCCCACTCACAAGATGTAAAGTTCATTTTCCACATAGTGTCTGGTGAGTTCCACTGCTGCATTTGTTCATGCTTTGTCTCTCCATTACTGTGCCCCAGTCCTCACCCTCCCAAAGACAGATGAATAAGACAAGAAGAAAAGAAAACAACAACAATAAAAAATAAAAGCTCTTGCTTCCATTTCCTGGAGTTCTAGGTGTATTAATTTTTGAAGAAAGGGACAAGTTTCCTGAGGGCGGCTTTGACTTCCTTGTTCCTCAGAGTGTAGATGAGGGGGTTGAGGGTGGGGCTCGCCATGGTGTACAGCACTCCAGCCACCTTGCTCTTCTCTGCACTGTAGCTGGACACGGGACTGATGTAGGCATAGAACACAGCCGTGTAATACATGCACACCACGATGAGGTGGGAGGAGCAGGTGGAGAAGGCTTTCTGCTTTCCCTCTGATGTCCTCATCTTCAGGATGCTGGAGATGATGAAGCCATAGGACACAATGGTCATGAGGAAGTTCAATATGCCATAGAATGCATCAGCCAGTGTGGTCATGACACTGTTCACATAAGTGGAGCTGCATGAGAGACGGAGCAGAGGAGGGATTTCACAGAAGAAATGAGTGATGACATTGGGCCCACAGAAGTTCAATTGCACCATCAGTCCTGTGTGGATAGATGAGTTGAAGGCACAGATCACCCACACTCCAGCAGCAAGCACGCTGCAGAAGGCCTTGCTCATCATGGTGCTGTAATGCAG